TTTTAAAGATTTTATTTATTTATTTGACAGAGAGAGACAGTGAGAGAGGGAACACAAGCAGGGGGAGCGGGAGAGGGAGAAGCAGGCTTCCCGCTGAGCAGAGAGCCTGTTGCGGGGCTCGATCCCAGGACCCTGGGATCATGACCTGAGCCAAAGGCAGACCTTAACCAACTGAGCCACTCAGGTGTCCCTGGGTCTTCATTTCTGACTCCATATTTGTGTGTGACTCTGTGTCCAGAAGAACTTTCCTGAGGAGAGAGGGTGCTTTTCTCTTTCCAGCCCATCTAGCTCATGACCCTCCCCTCATCATTCACCAAGAACATATGTGAGAGTTGGCTTGTGAGTCCTTCACTCGCATCCTATTCCTGTTTTTAAATTTTCTTTCGTCTCTTCAATTCCACTCACTGAGAGACGGAAGCAGATAGAACGGCTGGTGGCTGGACAAAGGAAGAAAGTCAGAGTTCACTGAGTGCTTACTCTGCCAAGTGCTATGCTGGGTGCTCTGATTTAGCTTAGGCCTTCTATTCTCTTGTGGCCCCATATGCGGGGGGTGGGCCTGCCTTCATGGGGAGATGAGGCTCAGTAACTGATTCAGGTTGTACAGTTAGGGCTGCTGGGGGAGCCTGGGATCCGGCGATTTGGAGCCCTGATGCCTGAAGGTCTGGAAGTCCTTTGGCTGTGATTCAGGTGCCTGAGAATGTGGCCCTTCCCAGACTCTCTCTTGCAGGCTGCAACAGCAGGAACAGCAGGAAATCTCACCTGAGCACTTGAGGTGCAGGACTTCCCCATTGGAATTCCCAGAGTCGGAAATTCCCACGCCCTGAGGGAGAGGTATTAGGTTCAGGCTCCAGTTTTCTGGGGGAAGGGCCTATTTGCCCGGGCTTTGTTATATGCAGGGTCTCCTGAGCCCCAGTAGTCCCCTGAGTGGGAACTGTGTTCAGGGATCTTTTTTTTTTTTTTAAACTTTTATTTGTATTTATTTTATGGGTTCAGGGATTTTTTTATTTTTAAGATATATTCATCTATTTGAGAGAGAGAGCGTGCATGTGCGAGTGAGCCGAGGGAGGGGCAGAGAGAGAGGGAGAGAAGCAGACTCCCAGCTGAGACTCAGGGGCTCCATCCCACCAGCCTGAGATCATGACCTGAGCCAAAATCAAGAGTCAGACGCCCAACCCACTGAGCCACCCAGGTGCCCTAGGTTCAGGCTTGTAGAGAGAGGACTTTAGGGAGTGGCCTCCCACCCCCAAGGAGAGGAAGATGCAGAATTAACTCCAAGAAAGAGACCGTGTTTCTTTTTTAAGCACGTTTTATTTCTCGCCACTGACCAGTAGGGCGGTTACAGACATAACTCCCCTGGGGAGCAGAGGTTCAGCGATGTAGCGACAGTCAGTCACCAAATCAGCATTATTTAGATAACTGGATCAGATAAATATTTTTGAAAAACGTAAGCAAAAGGAGGCACAGAGGCCAGGAGGCCAGGTGGGAACAGCCTTAGAGTTCAGCTCCGTTTTCACAGAAAACATGTCTGAGCCAAGGCAGCCCCTACATTTGGTCTCCAGGACACCCCAACCTCCCAAATAAATACACATTCATCAGTAAATAAATAAATAATAAATAAATAATAAATAATCACAAGTGCAAACATAAATAGAGAGAGCTGGCCCCATGTGGGAGGGGCTGGGCTTTCCTTCTCAGGAAGAGTCTGGAAACATTTAAAGAAAGGGACGCCTGAGGTCCACTCACGTCAGGTTCTAGGTGAGATCTTCTCAAGGGACGTTCTGAAGTGTTCTAGCCAGAACTAAAGGTTCCCTGACTCCCACATTCCAAGTGTTCCAGGTTGCGTTCAGGGATCCAAACCTGAGGTCTCCAGTGAGCGCTGGAAGCCCCAGTTTGCATTCTTGGTAGGGGCCAATGCTCCAGTGTCCGGGTCACACATCCCTGGATCTTAGGTTTCTAAGTGTTGTTGTTTAAAGTTCTAAGCTTGGGGCCCAGCCCTGAGCCCCTAATTCTCTTTCTAAGCCAGAAGGGGATGAGGGGGGTCAGAGGGAGTAGATAATAAAGGGGTTGAGGTGGGCAAGGATGGATGTCCCGCCCCCTCACAGGGCAATGATTCCAAAGTAGACCTGCCCAGACTCGGCAAAGTCGAGATAGTCAGGCAGGTTGATCTCAGCGCTGAGTCGATCACCCTTCTCCAGTTGGAAGACCCCTCCCAGGTAGATGGGCTCGTACCAGGGCTTGGCCTCAGTCCCCTCTGGGGTCTCCCTTTGGCAAGGGCTCTTGATGGCAGAGAGGAGGTTGACCTTGGTCTGGTAGGAGACGGCGAAGCGGCTGATGGTGTGGGTGAGGAGCACATGGGTGGAAGGGCATCCTTGGCCCTTGAAGAGGACCTGGGAGTAGATGAGGTACAGCCCGTCTGATGGCACTATTAGCTGGTTATCTGTCAGCTCCACACCATTGGCCAGGAGGGCATTGGCACGCCGGCTCAGCCACTGGAGTTGCCCCTCAGCTTCGGGGTTTGCTGGAGGGAAGGAGAGAAGGAGGGAGGGGTGAGTCAGTGTGACCCTGTCAGCTCCACTCTCCACATCCTGGCCCTCAAGTTCTGCCCACCCCCCCACATCCGGTTCCTGTCCCCTCTGTCGGTCTTCCCACATCCCATCTGGCCACGAGGTTCTGAGTATCCCCCTCAAGGCCAGTGAGTCCTTCTCATACCATCTCCAAGGTCTGTCTACCCTCAGCCTGAGTTCAGCCCCCAAATCCTATCCCTCCACATCCTATCTGCTTCACTGCCCCCCAGCTGAATCCTCAGAGCTCTTACCTACAACATGAGCTACAGGCTTGTCACTTGGAGTTCGAGAAGATGATTCTGAGGAGGAAAGAAGAAAGAAAAAGGTGAGACCCTTAAGCTTCCTGGGAAAGATCCTGCTACTTTGACCTCCATGCTTTCTCCCCTCAAACCAAAACCCTGAATTTCCCCCACTGCTGCTATCCTAGGACCACCCCCCCCCCCCCCCCACCCAAGCCCAGAATCAGGAGAAAGGCTTTGGAGACACTTACTGACTGTCTGGGCCAGAGGGTTGATTAGTTGGAGGCCATCTGGGAGCTGTTGGAGAGAAGGAGGTTTAGCATCAGAGCAAGTCACCCCTGAACGAGAAACAGCCAGGCTGCTTCTGTAGCTCGTACTCTAGTTTTCTCTCACCATTCAGTCATTCCACAACACTCTCACTGAGTGTTCTCCACGAGCCGGACACCCTATCTTCATCTTTCCTTATCTCTTTCCTCACATCTCTCCTTATCTCTCTCTCATATTGTCCACATCTTTCTGTCTCACCATCTTTATTCATATCACTTGTTCTGTTCCCATCTCTCTCCCCACATCTCTCCACACATCTCTCTTTCCATATGTCTGCGGGCTCATTCGTTCATTCAAGAAGCATTCAGTGAGCACCTTCTGTGGGCTCCCTCCCTCTCTCTCTTCCCCCATCTCTCTCCATGTCTCTTTCTGCCTCCCCATCTTTCTCCACGTTTTCTCTCTCACCGGTCCCCATCAGCACACCTCTTTCCCCGAACCCCCGAGAACAAGCCGAGTCTGGTGGGGCACTCACCTCTTCCCTCTGGGGGCCGATCACTCCGAAGTGCAACAGGCAGAAGAGCGTGGTGGCTCCTGCAACGAGGAGGAAGGAGAAGAGGCTGAGGCACAAGAACCTTCTGGAGCCCTGGGGGCCCCCTGCCTTCTTAGGGAGTGCCTCCTCGGCCAGCTCCACGTCCCGGATCATGCTTTCAGTGCTCATGGCGTTCTTCCCAGAGGGGCTCGGGTCCAGCTGGGAGATGGTAGAGCCCTGGGGCAGTGTGTATTAGAGGGAGAGAATCGCCTGGCTGCTTGTCTGGGGGTGTGTCGTCTGAGAGGTTATTTCCAGGGGGTCTGCAGTTGCTTCTCTCTCTCCTGGCTGGTGCCCTGGTGTCCTCGCTGAGGGAGCTTCTGCTGGCTGGGTGTGCAAACAGCTGCATTTATATACCCATGGGGTGAGAAGAGGGCGGGGAAAGGCTCTCATTCAACCAGCGGAAAACTTCCTTGGTGGAGAAACCCATGAGCTCATCTGGAGGAAGCGGTAGTGGGCCCTACACCTTCTGTCTCGGTTTCTTCTCCATCGCGGGGGCGAGGGTTTGGAAAGTTGGGGACACCCAGGCATCAAGGATACTTCCTACCCTCCCCACTCGGATTCTGAGGGAAGCTTGCTGGGCCAGTCACTGCGATGTATGTAGGACCCTGGAGGCTGGACCCCAGTTTCCCTCTGCCCCCAATTCCCATTCCCTCCTTTTTTTTTTTTTTTTTTTTGAGGCTCAGGTCTGTGGCCTGTTTTCCTCTGATTTCCAGACTGGACTTAGGTAGGTGTAGAGCTAGACGTGGGAGGGGCTTCAGAAAACCGTCGCCTTGATGGGGAGAAAAGGTGGGGGGAAAACTATGCTGGGTCCTGAGACATGTGTTTGGGTCCCTGGGGGAAAAAGGAGCTTGAGAGAAGGGAGCTTGAGGCGGGGGATGTGGATGGGGTCTCTGAAAGGGCTGGGGAGGGGGCGGTAAATGGCAGGGACACGCTTGGGACAGCCCCAGTGGGAGCGAAAGCAACCTTGGGAATTCACGAACCCCATGAGGGCAGACCTTCTCCTTTCATTCTGACCAGGGACTCAGCAGTGTTGGTTTCAGTCTTGGCTTCCAAGGGAATCTGAGGCCCTGAGTTTTGCATGAAGGCCCCATCTGTCAGAGCCCCTGTGTGTAGCCATGTATCCCAAAGAACTCTAGTGCCCTCCAGATTTCTGGAGATAGCCCTAGCCCTCAGAGCCCCTCTGTGTGACCGTGTCTCCTGAAACGTCTCCTGTATTCCCCAGCCCCCCAGCCTTGGGGGTCTCCCACTCCATTCTTCCAGAGGGTCCCCATGTCCACCCCCATAGTCCCGAACACCCTTTGGTGTGGTCACTTCTGCCCAGAGGACTCCTGTAACCCCCATTCCTCAGAGCCTCTCTACACGTGGCCATATTTGCCAGTGGTCCCCTGACTTCCACTCCTCCAGACCTTGGAACCCCATTTTACCTTTTTCTTCCCAGCTTATCCTTTGGTGTCCCTGCCGTGGTCTGGCTGCCTCACCTCTGTGATTCCGCCACATTTCCCCGGAGCTCCTAAGGCCCCTTCATCTCCTTGTAGTCCACAGTTCCTGTCTCTTCTGAGGCCCCTGTCCTCCTTCCATTTTTTAGAGACCTGGGAAATTCTCCCCTCCCAGACAGACAGACAGACATAGACAGTATTTCAGAGAAAAGAGGTTTATTGGGCTTCATCGAAGGTGCAGATGTCTCCTCATGGGGTGTTTAGTCAAGCAGTGGCTGGATCTGAAGAGTCTTTTGCTTCCTTCTAGAGCTCCCCGGTGTCTCAGCCCCACTTGTCTTCTCTTTCACTGTGTTATCCTTATGCCGATGTTCTCTTGCTCTTCATCTCTTGGGCATATTTCTCTCTCTTCTGGTGGCCCTCTGTTATTCCCTTCTCTCCATCCTCCATAAATAAATAATTTAAGTTTTTCCCTGCATAAATAATTCCCCCCTCCCCTGCCTCTCTGTCATCCTCCCAAGCTCCTCCTGGTGTCTGACCACTCCATGTCCAGGGCTAGGTCCTCCTTTGACGGCAGGACAGATGAAGAGCTCTGGGCAGGAATTTCTAGGCAGACTTGAAATCCTCAGCCTAGCATTGGGGTTTGCTGAAAGGAGGTATGGTCCCCTGGGGTGCCTAGAATTCCTTCTTTGGAAGCGCCAGGTAACACGAGCAGGGGAGACTTGAGGCTATTGGAAGGATCAAAAGAGAGGTGCGGTGACCCTTGAAGTGGTCAGAATGGAGGCAAAATGGGGAGAAGGTCTTGAAACCAATTATTTTTCTTTCTGGATTTTTCTACAGAGCAAAGGCTCCAAAGAAGACACTACTGGGGCTGAGAAGTAGGTGGGAGACGCCATCTGTGTGAGTGGAGAGCTGATCTCCCTGGGTGAGCAGGAACACAGCTCCCTGGTACACGGAGTGCACCCAAGGTCCCTGTGGCCCTGGGCACACGGACTTCTGAGCGCTGAGGAGAGGCACGTGGAAGGGGTACTGGGAGGAGAAGAGCTGGACCTCATGGGCCAGGTAGAGAGGGGTGGGGGTGGCCTTGGGGAAGCAGCCTTCCCCAGAGAAGACCACCTGGGAGTAGACAAAGTAGAGGCCACTTGTGGGGACCAGGAGGGAATTGTTGCTCAAAGAGAAGCCATGGCGGAGGAAGGCACGATCCGTGTTTGCTCTCCAGCGAAGTGAGTTCTGGGTGCTGGGGTCTCCTAGGAAGAGCCAGAAGGGATGGGAGAGGTTGAGAACCTGGGGGTCAGCACTCTTAATCCCTGAGGATGTAGGTGCTGGGCCGAGTTCCTGGGGGATGGCTGGGAGGACAGATGGGAGTGGGATACCTCTGTTCTGGGGGGTGGGGGGAGCTGGGGGAGAGGTGCAATGGATGCTTGGTCCCTTGAAGGGGGTGTAGGAGGAGAGCTGGGGGCAACATGTCCGGGCAGTCAGGTGAGGTTTACCAATAAGATGAGCAGCAGGTTTGAGGGTGCCTGGTGCGAAGTGCTTCTGAGGGTGCTGGTAGGCAGTCCGGGCAGCTGAGGGTGAGCTGCCCACACCAGGAAGCCCCTAGGGGACAAGAGGGTGGAGCATGGCTCTAGGGCCCAAAGCTTGGCGGGGCCACCCCTGCAGCCCCCATTCTCCTGCTGCCTCACCTGGGCCTCAGGCGGCAAGGCCAGCAGCAGCCCCAGAAGGAGGAGGAGGGGGGCGCTGCACACCCTCAGGAGGTAGAGCCGTCCAGGTGGTGTCATGGGGAGAACCTGCGGGGAGAGAGACAGTGAGCGGGGCGGGGCCGGGGCGGCGACGGGCCTCCTGCCCGCGGAGACAGCCACGGGAGAGCCAGGGCCACAGAGGAGAGAAGGGGACAAGGTGCAGGCCGGAAAACCCCCCAATGTGAGCAGGGGGGCACAGAAAGAGAAACAGACACGAGAAGGGAAGAGAGAGGGATCGTGGCAGAAACAGAGAACGTGTGACAGAGACAGAGAGAACAAAGACTGGCTGATGAAGACTCCGAGAGAGGGGAACGAACCGCTCGGAGCCCACTGAGGCCCGGGCCCAGGCAGGCGGCACGGGAGGGGCCGCGGCGCGGGCGGAGGGGCGGAGTGCCCAGGGGAGTCCAGCGCCGGGCAGGCCGAGGAGGAGACTGGCCGGGAGAGTCTCACCTGCTGTGCGGGGCCCCTGGGCCTGGACGCCTGGGTCCCTTTATAGAGGAAGCGGCGGTGGCAGCGTGGCGGCGTGGCAGGCGGCGGGCGGGTTCTAGGCCCCGGGCTGGGCCCCGGGGAAGCCCCCAGGGCTGAGAAGATGCTGCCGTTTCAGTCGAAGGCAGGAAAGGCTGAGGCCCAGGAGTGAACCACAGGCTGGGGGCTCAGACGACTGAGTTCTGGGAAAGGGAGCGGGGTCAGGGGAACCGTGGGCTGGGAGGGCCAGGGAGCAGGGTCAGGCTTAGGAGTTCCAGAGAAGGGACAGTCAATTCGGGGAGGAGGGGGTGGGGGAGCAGCTGGGGCGTGGGCTGGAGGCCCAGTTCCCTGAAGAGTGATTATATATAACACCTCTGCACCCTTGGCTGATTACAGGCTACTCTCTGTGCCCGTTTCCTCCTCTTCTACCCCCATCCTTGTCCCAAATGGGTCAAGTCACCCTCGTCCCAGTATGTGTACTTTCCTGGTCGTCCGGCAGGTTTTCTATCAAGAAGTTGCATTATATACACCTTTGCCCTGGACATTCGGGTTTATGCTTGTTGTCCTGGTGAAGATGTTCATGGATCTCCCTTTTGTTATCACAAGTGTCCTGGATGGGAAGATAAATGTCATGGTTCCCCTACTGAGAGATGTTGCCATGCACTTAAGTATGCTGAGGTCTCATCTCACTCCTGAAGGATGTCCTCAGGTGGCCTCCACAGATCAGATTATTTTTTTAAAGATTTTGTTTATTTATTTGTTAATTTGGGGGGGAGGGGCAGGAGAGGGAGAGGGAGAATTCCAAGCAGACTCCCCCCTGAGCAGGGAGCCCGATGTGGGACTCGATCCCAGGACCCCGGGATCATGACCTGAGCCGAAGGCAGACGCTTAACTGACTGAGCCACCAAGGTGCCCCAGGTCAGATTTATATAACCCCAAACAAACACACGCTCTGGGATCGAGGAATGTAGCAATTTCCAAAGCTCTCTACAGGGAAGGCTTTGGAATTTCACACAGGAGGAGCTTGAGGGTGGTGAGCTAGGGTAGGGTGGGGACAAGCAAAGGACTTATCTGGAAGCTGCGATTGCAGAGCCAGAATACTGTTTAAGATTTCCCCCTTTTAACTTAGGTACAGTAAGGCGCACGTCTCTTAAGTTTACAGCCTGGTGAGCTTTTCCATCTGTTTATAGCCATGTAGCCACCACTCAGTTCAACATATTTTCAGGTCCCCAGAGGGTTCTCTCATGCCCCTCCAAAGATAACCAACCACTTTCTGACCTCTATCACCAGAGATTAGTTTTTCCTGCTTTTGAATGTCATATAAATGAAGTCACACAGAATGTACTGTTTGGATTTGGCTTCTTTCACTCGACATGATCTTTCTGAGATTCATCCATGTGGTTGCATTTATCAGTATTTTTTTTTTTTATCATGATGTAAGTTTATTGTGTGAATATACTCTCTTATTTACCCATTCTTCTGTTGATAGACGTTTGGTTTGTTTCTAGTTTTTGGCTACTATGAAAGATGTTGATATGAACATTCTTAAAAATGAGCCAGTTTGTTTTTTTTTTTAAAGATTTTATTTATTTATTTGACAGAGAGAGACACAGCGAGAGAGGGAACATAAGCAGGGGGAGAGGGAGATGGA